GACGCCCCGTTTGCCTTGCAGGAGGCCCAGGATGGCGGAGAGACCGGAGGACCTGAACCTGCCCAACGCCGTCATCACCCGCATCATCAAGGAGGCGGTGGGTGCCGGTGCCGGCGGCCCCCCCGGGGGGCTGGGGGCTTTCTCCGGGCAGCCCCCGCGGAGGCTTCGTTGTTGGCCGGTTTTGCTGCCCAAAACGTGCCCGGGCCCCGGCGGGAGCCTCCCTGGGGAAGGCGGCGGTGGCGGGGGGCCGCCCGTGCGGTGCCCCCGAGGCCTCCTGCGAGGGGATGGGGCCCTCCGGGAGCCAGGAGGGAGGGTCCAGGCTGCGAAACCCCGCAGTGATGCTCGAAAGTAAAGTCCAAAGGCAGGGGAGCTCTTGCAGTGTCCCCGAACCAAGCTGAAAGCAGAAGCGATTCCTTGTCTAGATAAAATTCTAGAATAATTCCCAGTCATTAATCAAATGATATGTTTGCTCTTGAGCCATGAGGTGTTGCTGAATGGCTTTGGCTATGGCAGGGTGATCGGTGTCAGGAGCTTGGTAGCCATCGGCTGAATCACCCCAGAGATAGTGGCCAGACCCACCACTGATCCCGAAGTTACTTTGCTTCTGCGTAGTGTGTTGCGATTGCGAGAAGGCAGTCGAAATGTGGGTGGCTTTCCGCTGGCATCACAGTTTCTGTGGTAGCATCGGAGATCAACGATTAGTTTCCGATTGTGCTGAGCCCTCTGAATGTCTTAAGGGAACTGATACATGAATTATGCAAGTTTAAGTCATTTAGAGCAGCTGCTGATAAAAGTTGAATTTGTTTTTCAGCTTCCTGATGGAGTAAATATTTCCAAAGAAGCTCGGAGCGCGATATCTCGAGCGGCAAGTGTGTTTGTGCTTTATGCAACATCGTGGTAAGGATCTGTGGCATCAGATAGCCAGTGCGGTTGATTTATAATTCACCTCTCTGTTGGCTGTCCTGGAGTATATTGTCTGTTGGCATAAACAAAACAGCCTAGTGTAGCCCAGCTGGGTTTGGACTGCCTGTGACAACCCGCGGGGAGGGCAGCTTGGCTCTGCACACAGAGGTGCCCCAACCCCACCAGGGACAAGAGGGGTCCCAAACTGCCAATAGCCTTAAAACGTGGCTGCGTGGCTTTTCCTGGCAAAGGCAAGAGCACCTTGCTCACTTCCCAGGCTGCTCACCACATAGTGAGGGCAAGCATGAGCCAACCTGGTCAGCCTTGGAGCTGGTCACAGAGGACACGGTAACGCCTTTGGGGTGGCTCAGAATACGCTGTGCAGGCAGTCACTTCTCTGGTGTTAAGTACTCACATGGCCTCATGGAATTGTCAGCTTACAGCCAACGTTCAGACTTTCTCCTTCCCCTCAGTTGTAGAAAAGGTCCATGCAGGCAGAAAACTAATGTGGGAAAGCAATGCAACTAGGTGAAAGCCTAGTAAACGTAGCCAATGTAAACGAGAAGGTATCTTAAACTGCTGGTAGTAAGTAATTAAAAAAAACCCCAAATATTTAGGTGATTTTTTTTAAGTTGCTTGTGACTTCAATAAATAAGACTAAATTGATGACAGTATCAATTAACTCTGCTTTCCTCCTTGTTTTTGACTAGTGCGAATAACTTTGCCATGAAGGGGAAGAGGAAAACGCTGAACGCTGGCGATGTTCTCTCTGCCATGGAGGAAATGGAGTTTCAGCGATTTGTAGCCCCTTTGAAAGAATCACTGGAAGGTACCGTCCTCAGTTCAGGTCGAGGGAGTGTAATGAACACCGAGTCCTGTTTTCCTCAAACACTGGACAAGCAACACTTACTTGCCTGTCTTGTTTCTCTTCTCTTTGCCCAGCATCCTACACTGCAGTTTGCCTGGGGAATAAGTAATGTGCACCTTAACAGGACTGGGATAAGATTATTTCACAACTGATGAGGATTGGGAAAGTCTCATCTGCTATCACTCCCCTAGTATGTTTATCTAAGGAAAGTCTTAGGTGCTGCCTGTAAATGTGAATTCCTGCGTCCTTTTCAGCATTTTTCTGCTGAAAGTTAACCTGGTTTCCTATGGAGCTGGTCAGCACAGCTCAAGTCATAGGGTGAGTTGCTGCTGTGAGTTCACTGCTCCCCTTGTAAGCCTGGAGAGCAAGTGGGCGCTGGACTTCAGCTACTGTCCTGTTCGTGCCGTGGAAACACTGGCTTGCGATTTGTCAGTGTTCTCTCTTTCTGTTTTTTAGTTTACAGGCGTGAACAGAAAGGAAAGAAAGAAGCAAGGAAAGATAAAGACAAGAAGGCAGACTCAGAGGAGCAAGATAAGAGCCGAGAGGAAGAGAATGACGATGATGATGAAAGGATGGAGGAAGAAGAGCAAAATGAGGAGGAGGAGGTGGACAACTGAGCTTGCTGACGAGGCGTGTGCAGGGGCTGGGTTTTCTTCAGAGGGATATAAATGCTGTAAATCACACTTGCTGTGTCCCCTCTTGTTTCCAGTAGAGCTGTGTACTGTTCCTCTGTGGCCCGTTCCTTTTTGGCTTTAACTTGTACATAAAGGACTCCTGCTAAAGCTTTTCTCGTGGAAGGACCGCTCCTCCTGGTGCACAAGGGGCTTGGAACCCTCCCTGGGTTCTGAACAGACAGTAATGGGACTGGGCTTTTGATGCTGGGTCGGCTCTGAAATAGAGGGGAAAAAAAATACGTCAAGTGCTGAGCAGATTCAGCCCCTGACCTGGTTTAATGAGCTTCCTCAAAAGGTCATTAACCCTTTGGGGTTTAGAATCTACATGAAGATGTCAGGAGGCTTGGAAGCTGAACATTTAGGCTTTTTATCCAAGTGACTTGTTCTTTTCCTTCATTTTCTTGCATTCTGGCCGTGCCTTCTCTTTCTGCTGTAGCTGTGACAGTGACACTGTGTCTTTCAACCTTACCAGTCATACGCAGCAGCCCAGCACAGCTGTACAGGGAGCTCTCGGCTGTCTCTCGCCCCAACCAACAAACGTCGCAGCACTGACGATGTAAATACCACAAGTGCTCGGTTTGTGTCCTTAAAGCCCTGGGAGACCAAGAGGAATTTTATTAAAAATCTGAAGCAAAATGAAGGGCTAAAATGTGTATCAGGGATGAACCGAGGCGGCTGTTCCCCAGCGGTACGTTTGTTGCAGGTCAGCAGTGGGCACCGGTGGATCTGACGGTCTCACCTCCCTTCCCTCCTGTGCAGAGCTGCAGTTCCTGCAGACAGGTTGGTGATCGCAGCAAATTGAAATGCGGTAGCGTAGGGGTGGCTCTTGTTGGGTTGGTTTTTTTTTTCTTTTCCCAACTGGAACGGCCTGATTACATCAGAGGTCCCTCTTTAGCCTTCGACCGTCATTCCCGAGGTGTGGACTGCCTCCCAGTGTGATGGGCTCCAGGAGGGCAGTGAGGACAGGACGTTCCTGCCGAGCCAGGCGGGCCTCAGGCCTGTGCTTTTTAAAATGACTCCTTCAAAAAAGATGGGTTGAAACAAGATGTGTGTGTTCTTAGTACTCATATGGGTTTGTTCTTTTATACTTGAATTCTTAGTTTTTACGCCTTTCCTTTCTCTTCTCTGAGAAAGTGTCTATTAGAATAAGCTCCTTTTTGGTAAAAATGCTGTATGATTTGACTAATCTTTGTAAAGACTGATAAACCTAGGATTTGAACTTAACCAAGGTCTGGTGAAGCCACGTTTAAGTAAAACCCACAGGTTTTGCTGCTGTGCAGTTTTAAAATAGCACTTGTGAGGAATAGTAGGTCCCTTTCACCAAAAAATTGGTACCGGAGAGCTACCCTGCCTTTATGCTTTAATGGCACTATGGCTTTTCACACACACAGCTCCTGGAAAGAACTGAATCAACAACGATTTTCTGCTGTGTAGTTTCTACGGGCATGTGGTCGCTAACAGATGAAAAGACTGAGTTGATGACGCCTTCCCAAGATCTCCAGTAACAAAAAACGCCTTCCTTGTAGCTCTTTTTTCCTCTTTTTTTTTTTTCCTTTTTTCCTCTTCTAGTACATATCTGGGGTGCATATGCTGCAAGGGAACAATATCTAAATAAAAGCCAGATTATTTTTTTTTTTTTACAAAATGGAGTCTCTTCTTTCTGTCAGCAATAAATGAGCTGGTTGCCTAAGCAGGCATCCGAGCGTGCTGCGAAGGCAAAGCAAACTCCCCTCTTTGTGCGAGGGGAGTGAGGGAGGTGCGGAGACTTGAAAGAACCAGGAGATTTCCAGTTCCTGGAGGAGCAAGGTTTGGGTGCTGGCATTTGAGTTCCCTGGGGAGAGAGCCTCGGGCTCACGCTCGCTTCTGGTCAGAGGCACTAGGCTGGGGGGAAAGGGGGGGATGGTGGGTCAGGGTTTATGCGCTGCAGCCAAGGGGTGGCAGCTGCAGAGCGCCCTGCAACAAACCCGATCTGTGCATCTCCCTGCTCTGGTGAGACCAAGAAAACAGCAGGTGCTGCTGAGCCTGCAGCGTCGCTCTGGCTTCCCTTGGCCTGGCAGGTCCCCCCAGCACCCCAAAGCCCTGCTTCAGCCCTTTGCAGCACCCCAAACCCAGCTCCATGCCACCGTAGCGAGCCCAGCCACGCTCCTTACCCCCACAGCACGCCAAAGCCTGCCTCCTGACCCCCGTGGCACCCCCAAAGCCCTGCTCCACTCCCCCCAAACCTGGTTCCAGGTCCCCCTGCAGCACTCCAAAACTGGACTGCATGGTCCCACAGCACCCCAAAGACTGCCTCCAGGCCCCTGCAGCACCCCAAAACCCTGCTCTAGCCCCCCCCCACCTGCTCCACGGCCCACCAGCACCCCAAAACTATGCTACATGCCCCTTAGCCCTGCTCCACAGCCCCCCAGAACCCCAAAACCCTGCTCCATG